AACGACAGCAGCAGCAACCGAATAGAAGAGAGCAGCAGCAGCAGGAACAGGAGCAGCAGCAGCAACAGCGACAGGAGCAGCAGCAGCACCAGCAGCAGCAGCAGCAGGAGGAAGGCTGCAGCAGAGCCCCTTACTCTCTCTGAAGCAGTCGGCAGCAGCAGGCTATGCAGCAGCAGCAGCAGCAGAAGCAGCAGCAGCAGCAAACAAGCAGATACTGCAGCACGACTTCCTTCAGAGGGGACCCCACCAAGAAACAATCAGCATTGCGCTGCAGCAGCAGCAGCTCCTCCAGCAGCAGCAGCAGCTGCTGCTGCTGCTGCTCCTGCTGCACCGAAGGGGTATGTGGGTGTAGAGGGCCCCTCTACTGCTGTACCCTTTTATCGAGGGATGGAGGGGCCCCCCCCAAGCAGCTTAAGGAGAGAGGGGGGGCCCCCAAAGACCCTTTGGGGGGTACCGCCGCCTAGTAGACCAGCAGCAGCAGGAGCAGCAGCAGCAGCAGAGCCTAGAGCAGCAACAGCAAGTGCACCAGCAGCAACAGCACCTACAGCGTCAGCAGCAGCAACTGCAGCAGCAACAACGGCAACGAGCAAGTTAGATGCTGCTGCAGGGGCCCCTAAGGAGAAGCAAGGAAGTACCCTAGGGGGCCCCCAACTAGATGTTAAGGTTAATGACACACAGAAAGGGGACATTCATATATATTGGCAAGTTAAGGAGGGGCCCCCGGGGGCCCCGGGGCCCTTGGGGCCCCTTGAGTTGCAGGCTTGTGTGGTAAACTGCAGCAGCAACATCAGCAGCAACAGCAGCAGCAGCAGCAGCAGCAAGCAGCAGCAGTTGCTGCTACACTCTACAAGCAGCCCCCTTGTTATCTCCCCTCCCTGCAGCAGCGGAGAGTACCACATAACGCTGCTGGTTAGGCCCGTACAGCAGCAGCAGCAGCAGCAGCAGCAGCAGCGCAGCAATTTGCCGCCAATATGTGGGGTGTCTGTACAGCTGGTCCTAGACAGCAGCAAAATCACCAGCCAGAGGGTTCGTACCCTTCCTGTCCATAGGCTGTCAGTAAGGGGGCCCCAGGGGCCCCCCAACAGGGGGCCCCCCTCCTCAATAAATTACAACAAGGGTAATCAGGCACAATCAATGGGGGGGCCCCTAGGGCCTCAACCTAACAAAGTAGAAAAAGGAGGGGCCCCCCAGCCGCTGCTGCAACCACAACAGCAGCAACGGCAACCACATCAGCAGCAGCAACAGCAGCAACTGCAGCAGCAGCAGCAGCAGCAACTGCAGCAGCAGCAACTGGAGGAGCAGCAACTACAACATCAACTACAACGGCAGCAGCAATTGCGACAGCAGCAGCAACAACTGAAAGAGCAACTGCAACAGCAGCAGCAACTGCAGCAGCGGAAGCAGCAGCAACTGCTGCAGCAGCAGCAACTACAGCAGCAGCAGCAGCCGCAACAGTCAAGAGCTTCGCACCTCCACACTGAGGAAGACCCCACAATTACAGGGGCCCCCGGGGGCCCCTCAGGGTACAGCCTTACATCGAGCAGCAGATGCATGCAGTCTGTTGTCCTTACACCCAATGCAGAAGCAGCAGCAACCGCAGCAGCAGCAGCAGCAGCAAGAGGACCCTCACCAACATATCCTGTATCTCCTGCTGCTGCCTTAGGGGTCAAGACCCCAAAGTCTGCTGCTGCAACTGCTGCTGCAGCATTAGAGGCAGCAGCAGGCCCTGCAGCAGCAGCAGCAGCAACTGAAGCAGCAGCAGCAGCACCAACAACACCTCGCCGTGCAGCAGCAGCAGCAATTGCCTTGGCAGCAGCATTCTCTCCTCGTGCTGCTGCAGCAACAGCAAAGGCAGCAGCAAAAGCAACACAAATGTTGGGGGCCCCCTTGACCCCTAAAGTTGAGGGCCCCCCTCCACCTCTCTCGAGGTCTTCGTGCCCTACGGGGGCCCCCCAAGGGGGCCCCCCTTCAGCTCCTTCGAGGGTCTCGTGCCCTCCGGGAGGGGCCCCCCAAGGAGGCCCGCCTGCTGCTCCTTCGAGGGTCTCGTCCCCTGCGGGGGCCCCCCAAGGGGGCCCCTCTGCCAAAAAGGGGCCCCCTAACATTCAACTGACAAGGACCCACCTAAGGCAGATGATAAAAAACCCCGTAGGTTGTCCAGGGGGGCCCCCAATGGCTGTGGGGCCCCCCATGGGGGCCCCCTCCCAAGAGGGTACTACGTTGTTTGCTGCTGCACCTGCAGAGGTTGGGACCCTAGAGTACACTGTACCCAGTCGGGGAAGTTGGGGCCTCTGGAGGCCCCCGGGGGCCCCCTTCGCTCCTTCGCCCTCTGGAGAGGTGCATGCGCAGGCTACTGCAGCAGCAACAGCTTCTGCTGCTGCTGCAGCAGGCTGGGGCCCCCTGCAGCAGCAACCGACTCGGCTGACTCAGGGTACCGCTGTACCCTTCGGTGTTGTTACCCATAAGGGGGCCCCCGTTGCTACAGGCCCTGAGCAATATGCGGGGGCCCCCTTGATGGGGACTTCTTGGAGGGGGGCCCCCCCAGCAGCAGCAACGGCAACAATCCGAAGTACCTCGATTGATTCGGGGGCCCCCCAGCAAGCACAAGGACCCCTAACTCCCTTAGCGGGGGCCCCACTAGGACCCTATACTATAAGGGGCCCCCAAGTATCTACTATACCTACAGTGTCTGTACACCCCACAATACATCATCAAGAAGACACAATAAGACCCCCTTGGGGGCCCCCTTCGTACCCTCTTGGGGCCATGGGGCCCCCCGGACGAACAGCAGCAACGTACGGGGGGCCCCCTACAGGGGCCCCGAGAGGCAGATCGCCACCGTACATTGAAAGGGGGCCCCCAAGGGGGCCCCCTTCTGTTGATAGCAGCAGCAGAGGGTACAGCGTGGTACCCATGTACAGACCAACCAGGTACTGCAGGGAGACATTAAGTGAGACCTTGAGGGGCCCTCAGGGGCCCCTCGACGGGACCACCAAGATGGCTGCAGAGGGGCCCCCCGGGGTGCCCCCCCAGGGATGGGGGGCCCCCCTTTGTAACACAATAACGGGATGCAGGATAGTGGGGCCCCCTCTAACCAGGAGGGCCCCCAGCCTAGCGAGGCCCTCCTGTGGGCCCCTTATGGGTATGCCAGGGGGGCCCCTCAACACCACTCAAGTAAGCATACACACCAGCAGCAGCAGCAGCAGGAACAGCACACAGAGCACTGTGCAGCTGCAGGGGCCCCCCAACGGAGCCTGTGCTGCTGCTGCTGCGCAACACCATATGTGGCTGATGCAGCAGCAATACCTCAGGCAACAGTGGCAACAGCAGCAGCAGCAGCAGCAGCAGCAGCAGCAACACCAACAGCAGCAGCAGCAGGGTTCACATACACCCCGAGGGGCCTCCCTGAGGGTACCACAACTGTTTGCCCCTCAGCAGACACCTAAAGATGTCTCCCTAATCAGCACTAGGGGGCCCCCCATGCAGCAGCAAACCCTGCAGCAGCAGCAGCAGCAGCATTACCTGCAGCAGCAACAGCTGCTGCACTTACAGCAAATGCAAGGTCATCAACAACACCAAGAAGCAGCAAGGCTCCATCAGCAGCAGCTGCAGCAGCTGCAGCAGCAGCAGCAGCAGCAAGACCACCCCCCACCGCAGCAAGCCAAACAGCAGCAGCAGCAACAGCAGCAGCAGCAGCAGCAGAAGCAACATGGATCCCCCCTACGTCTTATTAGGGCCTTAGATCCTCCTCCTCATGAGCAGCAGCTAACACAAGGTCATTACCTCTCGCAGCAGCAGCAGCAGCAGCAGCTGCGGCAGCAGCAGCTGCTGCAGCAGCAGGCGCAGCAGCAGCAAAGGCAGCAGCAGCAGCAGCAAATGGGCCCCCCTAGACAACCCCAAGGGGTTTAAGCCCCAAAACAGACAGAGTGTACAGGCAGCTGCATGCAGCAACCCTGCTGCTGCTGCTGCAGTTGCTGCTGCTGCTAAAAAGTAGTCCTGCAGCTTGTGCTGCTGCACATGCTGCTGCTGCTGGTGTTGCTGCTGCATCAGTTGCTGCTGCTGCAATAACAACAGCATTAGGGATAGTGTATTTATAATTTTATTTATTTTATTCCCTTTGCCCTTGCAGCCTAGGGTTTAGGGTTTAGGGTTTAGGGTTTAAGGGACCGAATATAGAAACCCTAAACATAATTTATTTTCTCCTTCCTTAGCTAAACCCTCGGGGGGCCCCCCCGAGGGTTTACGTTGCTGTAGGGTTTAAGGGGCCCCCAGGAGACACACGAGCACCTGGCTGCAGCAGCAGCAGCAGGAGCAACAGCAGCAACAGCAGCAGCAGCAGCAAGGTTTAGGGTTTAGGGTTTACTAGGGTTTGTTATAGAGGTCTTGTAGTAGTTAGGGTTTAGTGAGGTTAGGGTTTAGGGTTTAATGAGGTGCCTTCTAGGGTTTAGGGTTTACTAGGGTTGAGAGGCTGCTGCTGCACCGTATTCCGCCACACACAAGAAGGGGCAGGTGCAGCAGCAAGAGCAGCAGCAGCGGCAGCAGCAACAGCAGCAGCAGCAGCAAAAGGAGCAAGAGACACAGCAGTGTGTGTGCCAGCCGTGCGCAAAGAAGCAGCGGCATGTGCGCCCCTTCTAGGGTTTATTAGGGTTTAGGGTTTACTAGGGTTTAGGGTTTATTAAGATAAAAGGATTACTAGGGTTTTGTATGGTTTATTAGTGTTTATTCCTAGGGTTTAGTAAGAAGCTGCTTGTGTGCATAAACCCTAAACCCTAATGACCAGCGGCCTAACCACTGGTCTTCCTCCCCTCTCATCAATAGTAAACCCTAAACCCTAAACCCTAGAAATTAAATAATTAGCAAAAAGGGTTTATAAAGAGAAGAGAACAACCCTAAACCCTAGTCAAGGGGGGCTCATCCTCCTCGTGGCGCGCCGCTCGCATCGTTGGGGCCCGCCGCCATTGTAAACCCTAAACCCTAAACCCTAAACACTAAACCCTCAAAAAAAAAAGTGTTTTGTTTTTTCTTTTAAATATATTTTTAGGGTTTTAAAAATGGAAATTCCTACTTGTCAGTCAATCATCGATGATTGCTCGCAAATCGCTGACGCTCTCTACAATGCAAGACATGACAGTAAACCCTAAACCCTAAACCCTAAACCCTAAACCCTAGGATTTTCAAACCCTACAATGTATAATCTTATATCCTTCTCAATTACTTCCTAGATGCACAAAATTGGTGTGCTGGCACACCAACCTTCCCCCAAACCCTAAACCCTAATAAACCCCAATCCTTAAACCCTAAACCCTAATAAACCCCAAACCCTAAACCCTAAACCCTCGATATTATTGTCTATTCTGCAGCTCCCCGTATGGCCGCCTTAGGGTGTCTTGGTGCGGGGGTTTTGGGCCTCTTAACCTTTGGCACTTGCATTGGCGTTGTATTAAGAGAGTGGTGTATTGGCCCTCTTTTCTTCTTAAATATCGGACAAATGTAAACCCTAAACCCTAAACCCTAAACCCTAATCCGTAAACCTTAAACCCTTACGTCGATGTCTCACATGCAGCTACACCCTTACACATCGCCAGAACTGCTCTCCACCTCCTGAGTCTTTAATCGATCACCCTTTCCGCCCAAACCCTAAACCCTAAACCCTAAACCCTAAACCCTAATTTGTGTGCGTGCAGTATATTAAATTTGTTGATGGTTACTGCGGAGGCACAAAGAGTGTTGCCAATCCTCCCCATGGATGAATGCGTAGAGCGGAGGTTTGGCTTCCTTCTTAATGCTTTCTCTCGTGCTACTATTTATGCCTATCTTGGTAAACCCTAAACCCTAAACCCTAAACCCTAAACCCTAGGAAATTCAAAACCCTAATTCTTATATAACCCTCAATTATTCGCATTTTGTTTTTAGGTCTATCCTGTATTCCCCTGGGGGGTGTAACTTACCTCAGCTACCTCACAGGTAAACCCTAAACCCTAAACCCTAAACCCTAGCTTCTTCCTGTGGGTCGAAGAGGCAACCGTCTGCACTGCGGGGGGGTAGGCGGCGGCCCAGCTGCTGGTGACTAGGGTTTAGGGTTTAGGGTTTGTGGTTTTTGCAGGACCGCTGCTGTTGGGCGCAAGCGTCGTGACTGTGACTTTCAGGAGAAGACAGACAGTGAGGGTTTAGCACTAGGGTTTAGGGTTTAGGGTTTGCTGGGAGAGGGGTGCAGGGAAGGAGAAGAACAGACGAAGGGGAACACACATATAAAAACTTATATAGGGTTTACCTACCGGATCTAGGGTTTAGGGTTTAGGGTTTTAGGGTTTATGGGTTGTTTGTTGCTCAGCCTCCTGAAGGGGAAGCTATCCCCAGTTATTGATCGTCCAGTAGCACCAAACCCTAAACCCTTCTCCTCCCCAATAACCCTAAACCCTAAACCCTAAGCAGATTGGCGCAGGGTTTAGGCAGCAGCGTGGGAGGGGCCCCCTTTTGTTTGCAAGCAAGGCAAGGGGCCCCCCTACGGCTTGTTTTGGCATATGGGGACCCCTAGGGTATACCAGGGGGGCCCCCTTGGGTTTGCCATGGGTCCTCCTAGGGGTTTTTGCTAGGGGGGCCCCCTGAGGGTTTATAGCCTCCATAACAAATAGGAAGGGACAAAGGAGGCAAAAGAGGAGAAGATAAGAAATTAGGGGAGAGAGGGAAATCAGCCCTAAGAAGAAACACATAATATTAATTATACAAGTTATATATTTAGGGTTTATTAGGGTTTAGGGTGTAGTAGGGATTAGGGTTTAGGGTTTGCTAGGGTTTAGGGTTTGCTTCCTAGGGTTTAGATTTTGCTTTTTAGAATTTAGGGTTTGCGTATACGTGTTTATGCCTTTCTAGGTTTTAGGTATCCTTGTTACTATTTATCTGTTGCTTGGTACGATTTAGGGTTTATTAGGGTTTAGGGTTTAGGGTTTAGGGTTTAGGGTTTACCATCCAAATTTAGCTTGTAAGAAATGTTGATCAGATAATTGGAGAATATGCAACAATTGTCTAATTATATATTTTGTAAGAAGAGAGAGGCGAGGGTCTCCGTAAGAAATTGATCCACCATATACATTCCTGGAACATAAACCCTAAACCCTAAACCCTAAACCCTAAACCCTAAACCTGGTGAGTTGAAAAAAGGGAGTTTAATTAAATTCAGAAGAGTTAGAGAAACGGAAAGGGAAGGGATTAAGAGAGAATAAAACAGTAAATAACTGCTAGAGGTCCAAACCCTAAACCCTAAACCCTAAACCCTAGTGTTTTACCCCCATAAGGCTTCTTTAATTCTTGCTGGGCAAATTTCTCCCTCAGACATCGCCTGGTCTAATGAGACCATCAGCTGTACACACACAAACCCTAAACCCTAAACCCTAAACCTTAAACCCTTGGCCTTGTATGCAGGAAATACAACTAAATATCTAGGGTTTAGGGTTTAGGGTTTAGGGTTTAGGGTTTAGGGTTTACGTACCCCAAATGCGTATCCCTGACAATTCTTTAACTCCGCCTGAAATTGATATTCTCCAACCTGCAAAAAAAAAAAAAAAAAAAAAAAAAAAAAATTAATTAAAAAAAAAGAGAAAAAAAAAAAAA